TAGTGACTTGGCTTGGACTCAGGATGGTGAAACATCTCATTGATCTGAATAGTTTCGGATGCAGCCTCAAGTGAAAAAAAGCCTGAGTGAAAGAAGCATTCAGAAGAAGCTTTTTTTTTTTTCTCTGCCATAAATTATGCATGAGAACATTATTATTGTCTTGATTCTATCCTCTATTTTGAGATTATTAATCTAATTCTTGCAGAATTCTTTTTGGTCTGCAGCCTGTTTGCAAGCAGTAATGAGAATCTTTACTTGAGCAGCTGCTAATTTTCAGGTGAGACTGAAAATGCCCCCATCTTCCCCCAGAAATCAGAATGAAAGATGGAAATACAGGACCAAGATTCTTGCATCTCTTACCTCCCATCTTTTACTCTAATTCTGCAGGGTTTTATATGGTTTGTGCTATGCTTCCTTACGTGTTCTCCTTAAGAACTTATATCTGATGGGAAATATCAGCTGTGGGGATTTCACTTGCCTTTCTGACAGGAAGAAGGGGTGAAAATGTTACATTAATTAAGGTGAGTTGGCCAACATTAAATGTGCCTTTCCTTAAGTATCAAGGACTTGATCTTAAACACCAATAATCTTTGTTGTATTCCATGTACTTGTACACACTTGCCTAAATTCTCTTTCTCCCCAAACAAAGGCAATAGAAATGCAGGTCTTCTAGAAGTATAAAAACCTTATCATGATAATAAGTGCACAGAATCATAGCTGGGAACCTAAGCTATATGCTCTGCTTCTCCAACTGGAGGCACTTTGGTTACTGAATTACCAGGGGTAAGTTGTTACCTTGCAAGGCTAAGGAATGGAAGGTGGAGGAAATTGGGATCAAATGCAAGAAATGAGGAAAAGACTGCCTGGGTTTGCTGTGATGACCTCCTGTCCAAGAGGAGATAGAGTGTAACTGAGATGGGAATGCCTCAAACAGAATTTCAAATGGAAAAACACGGGAAGTCTCTACCTGTCAAAAAGGCTGGAGTGATTTGTTTGCACCAAGTTTCAGTGAGGTGTTGAAAATTACAGTGAGATTAGGACCTCTCAGAAAATGTTACACGAACATTCTGCAGTGAAAGTTTTTCTGCAGTTGAAACACTTACTACCTTCCCTATCATGTATGCTCATTAGTATACCATTATTTATGGATTAATTTTACTCTGAGTTAAATAGCCAAAGAAATATAAAATTAAATAATGTCGTATTAGACCTTTCCATTAAATCCTGGGGCTTGATTCATTTGCATTTTGTTGTGGTTTTATAATGCATGCTTATTTTAATTACTACTGCTGCACTTTATTTGTAATTGTCTGTGCAATGCCCAAGCACCTTGCTAAGTGGATAAGGAAGCCACTTTATTCCATAAGAACATAATTAATCCATTATTATTCATTATTATTTTTTCTGGAATGGGCTGAAAATAATCACTACTTTGAAAAATACAATACCAACAAATTATCTGTGGCAAAAATAATTTAAACAGAATTCAGGCTTTCCTTATCTTCACCATTGCTTCCTTCCAGATAATATCTCTCCAAAAGAGAGAAGCAACAGCATTCAATGATTTGAAGTTTGTGCTAAATGCCAAAGATGTTTGAAATCAGAGATCTGTTGTGTTGTGAGCGTGTGGTATCATCACGCGTCTCTCCCCCCTCGTCCCTCCTGCCGCATCTTCTCTCCCCAGCTTCCTGCATGGCCTTGGACAAATCACTTAACCACTCTGTGTCTGCATTTCCCCTTTTCTGATGGCTACAGTCCTACCATTCACCTTCTACAGAGCAGTGCTTCACCAGCGTGCAGAGCTTTGCAAATGATGTGTGTAGGTATTGTGGCAGCATAATCAAACGGCCACAACGATGGCTGGATAAAAGAGGAGGCGTTTTCCAGCTACGCAGGATCTTTCTCACAGACAGAAAGAAGACATTCAGTTTCTGGTGATGTGCTTGCAGATTCCTCCTGGATGAATACTCCATCTTTACTGAATTTTCTTATTACAGAGGATTATGCAACTCTATTAACTCTTGAAGTTTTGTAAGGAAATCCTTGCATAGTCCCTCATGTTAGGCACTTGCCTAAATTCTCTTTCTCCCCAAAAAAAGGCAATAGAAATGCATTCTGCTGCCTTTCCTTTGGCACATTCTCTCTTTAGAAACCTGGAAGGTCAGGGCTGGTTGTAGCCTTTTTGTCCACCAGTTACAACTCCTGCAGAGAAAACAGGTTTGTTTCTGATTCTCCTACTAATCTGCTTGGTTTTAGTTTACCAATACATGGTCATAGGTCTCTGTTCAATTTATGACAAAGATTTATTAGTACAAATCAGGCTAATAAGTCTGGTCAAGCAAATTAAAGGTGCAGAAACAGGGAGTGAATACATCAGGTTCACTCTGTGCAGTAAAAGTCACATCTTCTGATAGGCATTGAAGCACCATGACACAAGACTTCCAAGCTGTTTTGCCCCAGCCCTAATCATCCAAATCAGGATTATTTTCTCTTTTTCATTAGTATTTCCTTAAGAATACGTGCCACAACCTGGCTGACTTTACCTGGATAGACCAGTGTGATGTCTATGACCCTTATTCCTTCATCTCTTTTATGCAGCTGACCTGCAAAGGAACATGATGTCCACTGCAAAACCAGAACTCTGCACAGGGCTTGCCTTAAGATTTAAAACAGCCTCCTCTGTTCTACCAAATAAGCAATCTGTGCCTGAAGTCTCTCCTAACAATGCTCTGTGTGTGTGTGTGTGTGCATACATGTATGAGTGTGCACATAGCCACCCCTGTTTGTATCCCAGAATCTACTAATGCCTAAAGCATGTTATTTCAGGGCTGTCCCTGGACTCTGTTCCTGTCAGGCAAGACTGAAATACTGCTGTTCAGCAGTGCCTTTGAAAGCAGACAGCATGCCAGCACCATTTCTCTAACCATCATTTCCACTCTTCCCCAAATATAGCTTAGGTGTTTTCACCTCCTGTCCTCCTGTGTGTGCCTTTTTTCACATTCCCCTAAAACCATCCCTCCCCTTGCTGAATAATGCCAGTCTCCTATCATAAAACATTAACGACCACTAGGCAATGAGATGGAGGAACATTTCCCATACAGTTTTCCAATAAAATCATAAATGTGTCAAATTTGAATGCTCACATCCTTAGAGTTCACTCTGGGGTCTTCCCCCAACACACAGGGAAAATGTGGCAATGTTGAATGACACTCCAAAGCCACCTCTAAGTGCTTGCAAGAGAACTGTGAATAGCAGTTCTGGTTTAGGAGAAGTCTGTGAACAGTTTCTAATCCTGGTGATTCTGTTTGCATCCGTTTACATTCCTAAGGCTATCTGTGAACAGAAGAGACTGGGAATACACCTTTCAGTTCATCTGAAACAGAGATTCTCTTTCACATTTCTTTTTTCCTCACTTCATGAAATCCTTGCTACAGAGCAGGTCTCGCTGATCTGAAAAGGCAAAATGAGAGTGGCTCTACACTACTTGTAGAGTACTTGTACTATGAGTCAAATCTACTAGCATGCTTGTCTAAAACCTGACTGTTCGTGATGCCTCCTGGATCTTCTGCACTCACAATGACTGGATAGGATTTTACCCATTACAGAAATAACTTCATGGACCTACACAGAGGTTACTGAAAGTAATTTTATTACCCTTAACCAGGTTATTTACTGATGAATTTAATAGAAAGCACACAGATAGTATCTCAGATTCAAGTAAGTTTGCATATACTTATGGCTGTGGATAAAGAAGGGCAAGAGAAGATATTTCTTGAGAAATGAAGAAAACCTGCATGGAGTCTAACAGCAAAGGCCCTGCCTGTCAGCTCTCACATCTACAGCACCTACACCCCTAGCAAAATTCTGCACAAAGCCCTAGCTTTCTTCCAAAGAACCTAAAGGGCACCAAAAATTCCAAGCAAGTTCCTTTAACATCCTTTTTCCTCATAAACTGCTTCTGAGACATTTAACCCTGCATTCAGGTTACACAAAGGACATTGAGGTGCTGGAGCAAGTCCAGAGAAGGGCAATGAAACTGGTGAAGGGTCTGGAGCTAAAGTCATGTGAGAAATGGCTGAGGGAGCTGGGGGTGTTTAGCCTGGAGAGGAAGAGGCTCAGGAGAGACCTTATCACTCCCTAAATTCCTTGATAGGAGGCTGTAGTGGGGTGGGGATCAGGCTCTTCTCCCAGGAAACCAGCGACTCCACAAGGGGAAATAACCACAAGCTGCTCCAGGGGAGCTTTATGTTGGATATTACAAAAGATTTCTTCACTGCAAGAGTAGTTAAGCATTGGCACAGGCTGCCCAGGGAAGTGTGGAAGTCCCAAACACAAGCAGACATGGCTCTTAGTGCAATGCTTTAGGGGGCACGGCGCTTTTCAGTCAAAGGCTGGACTTCATCATCTTGGAGAACATTTCCAACCTTAATGATTCTGTTTCTAATCAGGTGAGCTAAAACCAGGGGCGTTATCAACACGTCAGCCAAAACTAGACACAATTACTTAAGTCAATTTGGGAAAAAAAAAAAAAAAAAAAAAAAAAAAACCGAAAGAAATCGCCAAGCCACCCTGGATAACGAAAGCAGAGGAAGACTCAGAAACGCCACTCGGGGAGAAGAAGACCGGGTACTGGAGGGGTTGCGAAGGGCTCCGCAGAGGGCTCGCCCCGGCGCTGGCCGCTCCGCTCGGCAGCGCAGCCAGGCGGCACCGGGGCGCGGCCGGGTGGGCAGCGGGCGGCGGCAGGGAGTGCTGCCGAGGGACCACCGGGACGGGACCTAATGACGGACGGGACCCGATTCCCGATTCCCGGCACACTGGGGACCCGCGCCCGCCGCCCCGGTGTCTCCCGCGCGTGCGCGGAGCGGTCGGGGGCGGGACCGCGCGGGGGCCCCTCCCGCCCGCTCTCGTTCCTGCCCGACCGCGGGAGCGCGCGGCCGCCGGCGGCGCGGGTGCGC